ATGATAATGAAAGATTAATGATAACTAATTATTTAATTTTAATAATTATAATTATAGGAATTACTACATATTTCAAAGAGTAGCTAGTAGCTCAGCAGAAATAAGAATGGTATTTTATGTTTTGAGTAGTAAAAAAAAAGATTTCAATGTAAATGATGTCGAAGAAATTGCCGAAAAACAAATTTTTCCAAACATTTTTAAACTTTTACAAGTGGCTTTATCTATTCCTATAAGTTCAGCAACCTGTGAAAGGTTATTTTCTTCAATGAAACCAATAAAACATTGGCTTAGATTTTCCATGGCTCAAGATCGATTTAAAAATTTATCTATTTTAAATATAGGTATATGTAATCTTAGACGAAAATGACATTGTAAATAAATTTGCTGGAAAAAATAGAAAAATACTCGTAATTTTAATTTTAATTAGGCTTTATAATAAAAATTTAATAGCTATGAACTGTATATTTTATTGATTATATATGTATATCATTCTTAATCATATTTATTTAGGTAGCTAGTCTGTAAGTAGAAAGTGACTAAGTGACAAAATTTTACTTCGAAAGAATCTATTAACGACTATATTTACGTATACGTATAGTATACGACTAGGTCGTAAGGACTTCTATTCAATATAAATATAAATTTTAATGTTGATAATCAATATTGGGATGTGGGGGGTAAAGCCCCTGTGGGTTGCTGATATCATTAAAATTTAGTCCAGCCAGATATTAAACTCTAGTTGCGCCTATAGGACACTCAAATTGCATCCTGTAAATAATTTTAAAAAATGTTACTTGAATTGCCTCCCATTTGAAAATTTTCCATTAGTCGAATCAGTATAATCGATATGAACTATCAATTTATACAATAATACATTTATAAGTTGATTATAATACAAATAGGTATTTGTATACAGTATATAATGTATAAATAATGTATAAATACTGTATAATATATACAGTATACAACGTACACTAATGCGATAGTGCAGATATAGTACTTGGTGTTAATCAGTAGTTTTAAATTAAAAACTAGTAAAAGCAACATTATATTACTATATCATACTCCGCTATTGTCTAATGGCAATTGGTAAAACCAATGTTCGCGAGCAGTAAGTACGAAAATGTGGCACTTTTATCTCTATTATACTCATGTTTATATACGTATTATCGTATTCGTATAGGCTGCCAAAATATTGTTACAACCACAAATAACCACACAATTTACTTGTCTTCGATCACAAGTTTAAAGTTTAGAACAAGTTTTGTCGTAATATATTAACTATCACTTAATTTCTAATATCAAAATATCGAAATCGATGTGAATTACATCGATTGTTACGGGAGGCAATTCGAGTATGGTAAAACAGAGGCACTTGAATTGTCTCCGAAATATCCGGAGTATAATATAAGTAAAAAATATTTGACTACTTGCCAGCCTTATGTTTTCTACTTAGATATTTGTTAAATTAAGTTACCTATCTTAATTGTTTTTTAAAGTTTTTAAAAAATAATTAATAGATACTATTACTACTATGATTATTTATTGTTTTTTTTTTTTTTTTTTTATACAGGATTCAGACTGAAGGTACAATTTTAATATAAGAACTTTTTTTTGTTATTATTATTAATACTTATTTTATATGCAATGGGTTTTTAATATATTTATTAAATAAATATTTAATTCAATTTGGCACTTGTATTTTTATTTATTCATTTGAATGAGCAACAGGAACATGAGCTGTAGGTAATGAACCAAGGGCGTACCCAGAAATTTTTATAGGGTCAAAAATTTGTATTTTATCTGTTCTCTAATTATAGTTTAATTCAATACCAACAAATTACTGTTAATAACTATAGTAATAGTCACAATAGTTATATACACATCACACAAATTCTGCACAAAGGCTTACTATAATAGGTTGGTACTATAATTTGAAATCAATTTTTATTTGTTAGTAAAATGTTATAAAAAAATACATTATTTAATAATAATAATTAATAATGTTAAAAAATCAGTATAAATTAAACATGGTTTATACATTATAGGTATATTATATGATCTGTAAACTTTGTATATTGAAGATAATGGGAAATTAAAATACACTATATACCAGGGGTGGTGAACCTTTTTAGGTTCAAGTGCCAAATTTTTCCTTTTCAGATTTTGAAAATCGTTTACGTGCCCAAAGAAAATTATATTTTCTAAGACTATAAACAAAATTACAGATTTATTACATTATTTTTATTAAACTTTACTCATTCTTTGTAAAACACAAGCAGCAATTATTTCGTTGGTCAAAACCTTTCTTTCCTTCAATTTAATTACATTTTTTACGGCGAATAAGCTTTCACAAACATAAGTTGACAAAAAAATATGAAAGCATAAGGAATATTGTCATTTTTAAAACATATATAATTTGTTTATTTAAATTTCTTACAACCAACATTTTATAAGTAGTAAACATTTTTTTTTTTTACAATTTTTCAATTTTTTGCGCGTGCCATTAAAATTTGGTCGACGTGCCATTTTTGGCCCGTGTTAAATTATTGCAGGCACCCTCTGAAATGCAGGTCTACGCACGTCTATGGAATACAGCATTTTTAATTGTTATTGTTATATTATTGCTATTAAGTTATTGTTATATCATTTTAAAAGAAATAAATAGCATATATAAGTATTATACACTTTTGATTTTTGTATTCCTCGATTTTAAATAAAATATTAATGTCATCAGTATTCATGAAAATTAAAAATAAAGGCAAATTGATTGATACTATTGTAGCCTGTTCAACCATATATAAAAAGAAAAGAAATTTCATTGACTACATAATAGGTAGTAAGTTTAGGAAATAAAATTATTTATTTAACCAAACTTAACTAGCTGAATGTGATTACATATATAAAAACGAATCACGAATAATGAAATAACAGTAATTATTAATTGTTATATCATCACTAGCCGATAGCAGCTTTTTTTTTTCTCGTAACAGTATCGATAACAGTAACACAATACCTAACACTATATTTTATAACAAAAACATGAAAATATTGAGTAACAGTTATCAATTATCATTTATTAATTTTCCGAACTAGAAACGTTACAGGAGCTCACAGATACTAGTCGAATTTTACATTGACATTAGTGAAGCTCGGCGGCGCGCGCTTATCACGCATCCGCCATATTTTTGAGGGGGCAAAACAATGATTTGAGTGTATGAAAAATATACAATGTAATTTAATGTTCACAAAGTATTAAAAGATTTAAATTTAAAAACTCATTAAATTTCCAACACTAACTATATAAATAATAAATATAGAGATCGATAAATGCATATAGCAACTATTTGGGATTTACAGTAATATAAGTGTATAACTATTAAAACTTGAATGTTGTGGTTTTATGAAATAATGTTAGTTAATAATAATAATATATTAAAAAAATTTAGTTTATATATAAACCACTAAATATCATACTCATTATTAATATTTGTAATTCGGGTAAAAGAAGATACTCATTTTAATTCCAATATACATATATTTTAATATATATGAATGTATTATATAAAATATAAACTCACAAGCTCCATTTTTACTTCTGTCCTGTACCACCAACTATTTAGATGGAATAGAAATAGGAATATAATATTATGTGTAGAATAAAAATATAAAAATATTAATACAAAATAAATAGGTACAATAGTTATATTATATGAAATGATGAAGTATTATTAATAAGGTTTTACACAGTTATGTATTGATTATTAAATAAAATCAGCTTTGTTAACACACGTTTGCTAACTTGTCTGTCTTTTGATTTAGCAATAAAGTGCAGACGTATTTTGAGATATTCCTTACAAATTAAAGGCATTAAATTTAATTTATGGCTTTCAAGAAAACAATCATCCAAACAACTTAAATTTTTATACACATTATTACTGTAGACACAGTTCTTGGTATAAATACAAATTTTAGAATATAAGCTCAATTTTAGATGATTAAAATTTTCTGTGAGCTGAATAAGAGTATTTTCAACAAATTTAATAATTTTTAATACATCAGTTGAACTTCGTACTAATCCTTTCATATTTATAATATTAACTAGAGTCAAATAAAAATTTGTATAACTATAATTATGGTCTGTAGTAGTTTTTCTTTCTAGTAAACTTTCAATATACATAGGGCAATATATTTTCTTAAAAATGTTTCTTCTATAAATCCATTAATATAGTATAAAATACTATCTTTAAGAATAATTAGACTATCATTTTCAAAAGAAAGGAAGTCTCTGGTATTTCTTCATCATCATCTTCAATAATTTCTTCAGACTTTCTTTTTTTCCAACGTATTTCAAAAATGCTGTCATAACATAAATTATCTAATGGAATGCAGTTTGCTGCATAATATGAAGTTATTAAATTCTTTAAACATAATTTTCTCATAACTGTTCAAAATTCCAAAACATTAGGATTATTATTGTGACCAAATCTTTGCCTTATTTTAGAAAAAAAATTGTGTGCGGGCACAGGTCATAGAAGTGAAACTTCCTCGACTACAGTTATGGTGATATCACACTATTAATGTACAATCTACAGTTACTGTCGTAGAGGTTTCATTTTTATTATTTGTCTTTGCAGAGAATTATTTAGTAATCAAAATGAGAAGACCTATAAAGGGAGGGAAACAGGGCTGGATTTAGACTTTTGGATGCCCTGGGCAAATGGATTTTTCGAGGATCCTAGCAGTAAGAAATTAATATTATCCATGTAGTAAAGGAAAAATTAAAAATTTGCATACTTGCCCGTTAAAATTATCTGCCTATACTTTTTTATTTTAAGTTTAAAATACCACTGTTCATGCTTTACAAATCACAAATTTCTGCATGTATAATAATATCTCAGTTTAATTAAATGTAATATACAGTAAATACTAAATAGTAATAGTAAGTAATAAAAAATTAATACATTTTTATAAATATGGTAATTTTAGAAGTAATAAGTCTGACTTAAAAAAATTAGATATACATTTGGTTTTTTTAATGTCACGCGCATGCGTGTGTATAGGTATAAAATAAAGGTACGTAACGGCAGCCTACGTTACTATCAGTGTCTGCATAATAACTAACCCGTTCTGTTGCTTCACCTATAACAAATTAAAATTATACTTATACTGAATTACTGATTATAATTACAACTTACTGTTTTTAAATGTTGATTCTTCTAACATCCGAAGGAATTTTATTGCATCAGCAGTTGAGGAGCTCAAGGTCTGTGCAGCCATTTTCACTTTCATTATATTTTCTCTCCAATCAATATGAGCAGATGTTAATTTATTAGCCAAATGAGACCCTATATTCTCTTGAGCTATATCAATGAAGCACAGAATCTATACTATACTATACTATACACTATATAATCAGATATTTGTGAAATGAAGTAAATTTTCTCAATTTTAGATTTATCTTTTAATATACCTCTATTAAGATCTTGGATTAATTTCCAATCAATTATGCCATCAACACTTCTAAATTTCTGGTAAGTACCAGGAGCATTTCTTGCCAATTTAATATTGTGACACTCTTCTGGTATATAATAAATCTAAATAAAATAAATAAATTATAGTGTTGATTTTTTTTATTGACAGTTTTTACCTACCAATCTATGCCAGGAATACAAAAATATTCTACTAACTCATCATATGATCCATGAAGTTTACATCCAAGATGTGACATAGTGGATAAGTTAGTACTGGTACCATCACATATTACACCCCAAACTCAAACACCAACATTATTTGCCATTGTAATTGCAGTTTTTATAAGACCTGCCTCTATAATTGCAGTACTTGAAGATTATAAAAAGTAACCAATTGGATATTTCCACTTTCCATTCAATCAAACTAACATGAAAACTAATGCTTCTGTTGCTAGGGTCTCCTGTGCTTCAACTTGAATTCCTCCAAAATTACAATAACTCAGAAATTTATTTTCAATAATATCATACATTATTTCTTTTCTATTAACATAGAATCAAAAACTAAATTGTAATCCTTGTCACTGTGTGGAATACATTTCAAATATTCAAATACTTCATCGAAGAAACCTGGTTTAGCATCAACAGAATAAGTCCAGTAGCTAATAGATGACAGATGTGGTAGGCTTAATATAGTTCTGCAATAGCAGTAATATATTTTTATTAGTGAAATATTTAAATACATAATATATAAAGTGCTTTGATTTCAAACATCAAATAAACACATAAAATAAATTCGAAAAAAGAAAATTGCACACAAATAACTAATAATAGTGTTTAATTACCAGCAAAAATTATAAGCTTTAGGAGAATAAAAGTGTAAAGTTGATGCAAATTCTTTTATTTCTTTAGAATAGCAACAACCAGTTTTTTTATTGCTATTTTTAAGCTCATTATTAAATAATTCTAATATTGATCCTGGCAGAAAAGGCATTCCATAGCAAACATTATAAAATAACTAAATGATTAAGAATTCTTACCAATAAAATTATTTTCAATTAATCTTCCATGTTTACCATCAATTAAACCTTGATCGCATAAATAATCTAAGAGATCTCTTAAATTATTAATTTTCTTTTCTTTTCTCCTAAGCTTTAGTTTTAAAATTTTTATTTTATGTTTTAACTCAGTTTCACTGATAAAACTATATATAGTTTGAACTTCTACATCTCTTGTAGACTGTGACTCATTAATTGAAATATCATCTGGTTCAGGAATATTATCTGAAAAAAAATGTATTAATAAAAAAAAAATAATGATATAATTTAAAACGGTTCTAATACCATCAATAACTGATATAGGAATTATCTCGTCTTAGGATTTTTTCTGTGTTTTTTTACTTTTTGGTAGTATAGTGGGAATGATAAAAATACAGATAGAGCAATGTTGCGTGCCGTCAGTTCAACCATTAGGATGAGGATGTTACCAGGATAATTTTAATAAAAGTACTCAGACTAAGTTAAACTGTTTTACTGAAATATTTTCTAAGTACAAGTATTTAATTAAATTGAAAATTAAACTGGCGTGAAGGTGCTTGCTAGATTTGGACAATAATATCTAAATATTGGTCTATTTGCAGCCCCCTTATGTACTCAGGTTTTGTGGAAATCAATTGTGCTACACTATGTAAAAGTTGTTCTTGATTATTATAAATATATATGTGGGATGGTAATACTGGGGTTGATCAGGCCAATCTAAGGCGGAGTGATGACATGTCTAGAGAGGGCAGTGATGTTGTGATGCCTGACGAGTCATTGTGAAGAGTGATTTAGTTGTTACATACTTTGTTTTTAAGTGTTTGTAATTTGTTGTTGCGTTATAATATATTGAGCCTAAGGTTAATATTCGTCTAACGTTATTCCTACTGATCCCACATTTTGAGGGCCTGTATGGGATAATGAAGACTGAAGTCCTGATCCAACGTGACTATTCCATCACTGACTTAAGGAATAAAATTGGCAAGGTGATAAATAATTGTGTCACTTGTATACTCGCTAATCGGAAGCAAGGCAGAAAAGAAGGCTTCCTACACAGCATTGATAAAGGAGACACCCTTTTGTCCATGTGGCATATAGACTTCCTTAGGCAACTGACACCAACACCGAAGGGATACTGACACATTCTGGCTGTAATCGATGGGTTCACCAAATTCTGCTGGTTATTTCCTACTAAAAGTGTCTCAGCTTAAGAGGTCATCGATAAGTTGACAGTGATGGAGGCTACTTTTGGTAATCCAGAAAAACTAGTGTCAGATAGAAGGACTGCATTCACTTCAAAAGACTTTAGTAATTATTGTTCAGAACGAGAGATCCATCACATTCTTATAACCACAGGTGTACCAAGGGCTAATAGTCAAATGGAAAAACTGAATACCATTATTATAAATGTATTATCAAAATTATGTATGACTAAGCCTGATCAGTGGTATCGTCAGGTACCCAAAGTTCAGATAGCTTTGAATGGGTCATATCAGCATTCCATAGGGATGACTCCATTCAAACTAGTTTTCGGAGTAGAGATGAACCACCCAGAGTATCAGTCCATCAAAGAGGCAGTGCAGATTGAATATGTCAGGTGTCATGAAGGTCAGGAAGAAAATAGACAGTTCGCAAAGAAACAGATCCAGAAGGCACAGATCCAACAGCAACACGCGTTTAACAAATTCAGAAAAGATGCTGTCAGTTACCAACTAGGGGATCTAGTGGCTATCAAGAAAACACAGTTCTTACCAAGTTTGAAGCTATGTAGAAAGTTTTTAGGACCTAATCAAATAATAGGACGCGAAAGTACCAAATGTTATAAGGTGCTAAGAGTCAGTACACATAAGGGACCCGAGCAAAGCTATACCTGCGCTGAGTTTATGAAACCATGGCGTTCCGTTGACCAAGATCAAGCCGAGGAGTCAGATGATGAAGACACAGCTTTCGAGGCGGACGCTGTTCAAGGTGGAAGAATGTGGGATGGTAACACTAGGGTTGATCAAGCCAATCTAAGGCAGTGTGATGACATGTCTGGAGGGGGCAGTGATGTTGTGACGCCCAACGAGTCATTGTGAAGAGTAATTTAGTTGTTACATACTTTATTTTTAAGTGTTTGTAATTTGTTGTTGCGTTATAATATATTGAGCCTAAGGTTAACATTCATCTAACGTTATTCCTACTGATCCCACATATATGATTTATTACTTTGGCGACCTCATTAATATTATTATTCGCACATATCCCCTATTTTACTATTATTAAATACATTCTTAGTATTACTTTAAACTGTAGTCTTATAACTCATATTTGTGTACGTGTCTGTATTACCCTCAGGTCCTATATTAATGATTCTTTTTTATATAGTTTCCCGATTTCTATGAATTATATGGTCCTGTAATTATTTTAATGATTCCTTTCTATATAATTTCCTTGATTTCTATTATTTGTAATTTATGGGGTCTCCCTATGTCATGTTGGTCGTAAAGACCAACATTCATGTATGTCTGTAACAGTAGTATCCAATCTTAATAACAGTCTATTTGCATTTGGGAGTATTTGAAAGTCATCGTTAGTAAAATGATCACTGCAAATTCTACTGTACTGCGATAGTTTGAAATGTTTTCTTTTAATAGCTTCAATCCACTTCTTCATCAATTCCTCATTGGAATGTGGAAATCTAGTTTATGATAAATAATAGTTTAAACAAAATACAGTGAAGTTATGGTTGTAATACAATATGGTTATAATACTAGTATTATACAGTAAATAATTGTCAATTGTTTTTCAAATACGTAGGAAACTTACCGGAAAAATTGTGTAGACTGTTCAGGTGAAGCCCTATTTGCACAGCCGTACGCAACACACGAATAAGGCATATTTGATTATTAATTGAATATATAATTTAACATTTATTGTCACAAAAATAATATAAATTGTAATGTAAGTATATTCGTAATATTTGTATTATATCCAGGTTATGGCAGAATTATTTTGACTCCCGAAAAAATGGCGGCTACATCAGTGACACGCTTTACCTGATAACAGGAGTTCGCTATCTAGTATTGTCATAGATAATAGAAGAATGGATAGGCCAATCATATATTAACAATACAAGGGGTCGCGGTCCGGAATGTGGATGAGAGATAGACTGCTTTTATATAGTGCACTCACTTTAGCAAGGGGTTTTATCATTAGTTTTATTTCATAATGATAATAGAAGATATCTATGATGATAACAAATATTTTTATTGTTAACGCATTTTATTTTAAAATTATTTAACATTTTTACAAATTGAAGTATTCCCGATTCTGTACGAATTATCATTTGTCTTCATGCTATAGTTCGTACTTGCATTGTTTGTCATGTATCCTCTAAAGATAATACAGGCAACGTATCATTTCATTTATGAGTATTCAGCGGCGGTTTTAAGGGGGGCCCGAAGGGCCTTGCCCCCCCCTCCCATTGGCATAAGTTAGGTTTTATTATTTTTTATTATTAATTTTTATAATTTTATCTTTTATATTGTTTCGCTCAAACACATTATATTATAATTTAAGAAATATTATCATTACATATATTTTATATTATTATTATATTATCATTATATAAGAAATTCTCCCAAACATATTACTATTACTTTTATTATGCGGGTATAAAGGCATTTCGCCTTAACGCAGACGGCAGACCAGCTATTTTTGCCATGTATCGTTCCTACTGGCCATCGCTATCTTATCTTATTTTATTTGTAAGACGATTCTCACTAATCCATTTCTATATTGCTATTATTGTTTTAAAATGTTAGTAATTTTACAGACGTCGTGTCACTCGTGTGTGATTCGTATTTCGTGCTGTACTCGCCTGTACTGCTGTTGTCCGTAGTGTTTTCGTTTGTAGTTTCGTGTTCAATTATTCTGTTTTAAAATGTCACAAAAACGACAAAGTGAAATAAACTTTTTTTTAAAAAAGTTGAAAACAAGTGACAAAAATAATCCATCTCCAAGTGAAGGTATAGAAAATGTAAGCATGTTACCAACAGAGTCAGAGCCAGCTACATTTTCTGATTCGTGTGAAGTCGATTCTAACAGTCAATATGATATCCCATTTGCTATTGAAGAAAATGCAAATCTAAAAATTCGAAACGATCCAAATATGCTTTACAAATATTTAAAAGAAACGTGGTCACCTAAACAAAATCGATATATGTGGCTTGATTATCACAGACAAATTAATAAAAGAGGTGAATGAATGTAAATTTTTTTCAATTTTATGTGATAAAACTTCTGATTTATCACACATTGAGCAAATGAGTTTATCGATTAGATATGTTGATTTAAAATCATGCTTGATAAAAGAAAATTTTATTTGCTTTGTTCCGGTTTATGAATGTACTGGTGAAAATTTAGCAAATACAATCGTCCAAAAATTAAAAGAAATTGGTTTAAGTTTGGAATTTTTACGAGGGCAGGGATATGATGGTGGAGCAAATATGTCTGGTAAATACCGCGGAGTTCAAGCTAAAATCTTAAATTTGCAACCAAAGGCAATATACACTCATTGTGCATCGCACCGCCTAAATCTAACTTTAATAAAAGCATGTAATGTATTATCCATAAAAAAATTATTTTCTACAGTCAAAGAAGTATCTAACTATTATCTATGGTTTTACAGGTAGAAACATGATATCGAAAGAAAAGTATCGATACTTTCACTTGGTAACGAATGAAATGAAAATAACGAAACGTAACGACCGGTATGAGTATAGAAAAAAAAATATTGATCCTTTTACTTAGTCCTATCATCGTAACAAATATAATTAAAATATTGATAAAAATAAAATATGAAAACGACCTATATAAATAAGTATCAAATGAAAAATTATTTTCATATTTTAAAGTTTTCTTTCTCTAAGTTAAGAATGAATTCAAAATGTTAGTATATCTTAAAATATGCCATTTTACTAATATTTAACTAAAACTAGTTATGGTTCATGAACCACAGATAAAAATGCTGTATGTAAACAAATTTTTAATTGTTTCCGCCAGGTACCTATATCATTATTTGTAATTTATATTTCATCTAATCGGTATATAAATCAGTAAATCTAAACATATTGTATATTTTGTGCAATACTTTTTACTATTTCCATGGCTAAAAATGAACTCAGTATACATAATTTATGATAAAAAGGTTTATTATAAACCTATTGACACTATTGTATTGTGGACTATAGTTTCTGGTTCATGGAAATAACAAATACAGTCGTATAAAGTATAGACTTTAGTATGATGACCGAATTTTATAAACAAATTCTCTACCATGCGCGCAAATAATTTTTCTAGAAAAGAATTATTCTTTGATACCATTCGACCATTCGAGTACTTTTAATTTTTGAACCATTATGGCGGTTAATAAATGATTTAATGCTATACATTCGATACCAGTATTTTTTTATCGATACAAGTAAAGTATTGATAGATACAAAAAGTACTTGTATCGAAAGAAATGTATCGATACTTTTTTAATATCAGTAGTATCACAACATCCATAATCATGAGGGCTCTTCTGTAAATTGTTGTCTTTTCGTGAACACTGATAGTATGTTTATGTTGGTGTGATGTTTCAAACACCGTTTTAATTTGTTTCCTTGTCAATCAATCTTGTTGTCCAACAATGTTTCATAGTGGCCCTTCTATAGGTCAGTGACTAAGTGTACCTTTTGGCCAAAAGAAGAGGAACAATGCCGATACGTCACACATGGTATGGCAGAACTTGCATCTTATTCCTTCTACACCCTATTATTACATTTTTTATTTACTTAAACCACTAAAATGTCAAATCTTCAACATAGTGGCAACTTGAGGTAATTTATGTAAATATTAAACTTTATCTTCCATTCAAAATAAGAAAATAAATATATATATATATATTTTTTATAACTTCCAAGGTAAAAAATTCCATTAAACTATTTTATGTTCTCCTTTCATCATATACAACAATTATTGTTCAATAATCTTTTTCAGAAATGCTCCTGCGAAGAGTGTCCTTGATGTGGTGATATAGATATTGGCAAATAGTGGTGTATCATGTCGACTGAGTGATCCAGTAATAGCTAAAAATTTCTCATTATTGATTGATATTAATGGTATTAAAGATGAC